AACAATATAAATTAATCTCCAACACGCTGACGCAGATTGATATATGTGTACAGTAGTTTCAATTTCAAAGCTGCACTTGGAAAGAGAACTCCACATGTATTATGGACTTATTGAGTTGTTATGCTGGTGAATCCAAGAGTCAATAGTCAATCTGCTTGTGGCTTCTGTCATTACCAAGTCCTACGAATAATATTTGCTTTGGCTGCTAAATGCTGGACACTCCTCAGCTGCTGATCACTTAAGGTGCTGTATGGTGATGGGCAGGTAGTTTACAGTGGGTTTACTAGAGACTCATGGTGCTGGCAACGAGCTGATGACAGCTGTGAGACAAAAGCGAAGCAGTAATTTAACAGGCCTTTTCTCAACATGGAGAATATTACTGGTTATGCACCCTGGGGCATCTCTGTAGTGCCACAGTGCTTCATTTATTATGGTTTGCTCTGTCACATTTGAACAATCAAACATTTTACCCATGATCTTGAGATTGCAAATGGAAAGATTAGCTATTTGGATTACGTGTATTGTTCAACCGTAATACTGAGTGGTAGTTTAAGGAACCTACTGAGTCAGGAAATAACTTTGAATGCGACAAGTGAAGCCTTTTACCCAGTGACTTCAAACATGGTCCAAAATGTGTTATGATTGAGCGGTAAAAAAGTATTTGCCGGTAACTGTTGGGTGCTATAGTTAAGCAAATTTGTTTCAGACTTTTTAAATCCATGGAATAAGCAACAAGTTGGTGTAAGTGGGATCGAGTCAATATTGAGGTGTTTGTTTAACTTTTTCAAGAACAAAATTGATTGGGTTTTAAAAATCACTGTCAAAACTTCAGTAAAACCAATTCATGGTTAATTGTGGTGTTATTCGCAGGATTTCTGAGTGAAGGACTTTCATTGTTATTTTGTGAAATGATTTCTTCCTATCAACGCACCAAGATAAATAGTTGTTGAAAGGACTACACTACACAATCAGACTTTTACACATATAAGCATAATATTCTCCCACACTGCAAAACACTCAGGTCTGCCACATGAAAACAATCATTCCAAAGCCAAAGATTCAAACATCTCTGCTCTGATTCAGTGAGCAAAAATGAAATCACAGATAAGCTTTGAGGCTGCTTGTGTGTAAAGCAGGGAGAGCAGGAGAGGTGAATTTACTCATGCTACCTGTTAACCTGACTCTATAACAACCTATAAAACAAACTAACAGAAATTAGTTCCAGTAGGTGACACAGGACAAAAGGCAGAAGAACTGGTGAGTTAAGTGCACACACACACAAAACACAGTTACAAACGACATTTGTTATTGCACTGTTAGGATACAGTTCTTTGGACAACTCTGTGTTAGAGGAATAGTTAAACATTTTAGGAGGCACACTTTTTGCTTTCTTTCTAAAGAGGAGATTATAAGATCAATACAAATATGTCTATGACTTAAATTCAGAGCTGAGGTCAGGATGCGTATTCCCTGTTGTAAAAACCCTAGACAGATGGAAACAGCTTTTGTGGTTGCACACTTCATAAATGCACCATTTCTACAGCTTAAGAATAAATACATTAGCACTTGTTTGAGTCTATCTACAAATAAAAATGTCTATCTTGAGCCAGCAGAAAGAGACAAGGAAGCAATCCTTCCATCTGCAGAGAAACGCTTACTATTACGTATTACTACCTGGAGAATGTGCCTTTCAAACAGCAATAAGCCCAAAGAGCATCTGGCTATTTAAGGAAATAGGAGATGGCCTTAAAACAGGATCACTCACTGTTCTCAATCAATTTTTATAGAATCCAATTGCTAGAATTTTGAATAAGTGATAGTAAATCAGTGTGATACAAACTACTGAAAATGAAAGAAACCATATTTGGAGAAAAAGTATTTAGGCGTACAATCCCATATGCTGGAGGGATCACAATGTTTTGGCTTCACTTTTAGAAACTGCTCTATTGTCTGTTTGTATTTACAGTCATTGTGCACTTAGTTCAATGACATAGAGACGCACAAGTCCACAGCCATTTTGGAGGATCTGTGGGGTTGCACTCAGGCACAGCAGGAGTAGGGTGGTTGCCAGATTTTAGTACTAGACCAAAACCCTCAGGAACAAAATCTGGTAATCCATGCTTTAGTGGGGAAACTCTGCATACAAGTTCTGGCCAGAGGGATGAATCGATGTTTGTAGAGGCATAGTTCAAATGCACTACTCTTCTGAAAATACAAATCACTACTTTTAAAAAAGACAATTTGTCGTGTAAATTAGTACATTTTGAGGTGTTGTTTGTATGTTAGTGTATTTTTTTTGTAACTCTAGACTAAGCAAGGCTAGCTGTTTCCTCTGTTTTTAGGGTCGCTAAGCTAACCACATCCTGAAATCATTGATCGTCTTCTGTCACTCTCAAAAAGGAATACATTTACATATTGCCACTGATCAGACTTCAAGGTCAGTCTGAGATCTTTTGTGTGCAAATAGCTTTTTTCTTAGTTATATTTACAACTCTAACATTAACAGCTAGAAATTAGCACTTTTAAAATGCCATGATGCTAAATAGAAAGCCTTTGAAACAGGTTTTCATATTACAGCTTAGCCTAGTAAGTTGCATTGACATATGAGTGCAAATCTCTGTTAAGGAGCAGTCCACATATTCAGTATTACATCACATTTTTAAATATTCACCCAAAACTCTATTTTCCATCTGTGAGTTGGCCATGCACAATGATTAAGTGAGTACCCAGTGTGGATTAAGACTCATGCAGCACCTCCCAAAGTTCCCATCAAAGTGACAGTCATTCGAAGAGGCAGAGACTGTACTGTACCATATTGACTATAGATTTTATCATCATTTTCTCCTCGGCGCCCGCCTCGCCTTCTCTTATCTTTACCACTGGTACCTCCATTACTCTGACGGCCTGTAAAAACCAACCAGCAGGAAGTGGATGTTAAACACTGTCATTTGAAATAAGTGCAGAATGAAAAAATGGAGAAAAAGGAGATTGGGAGAAAATGAGAAACAAAGAAAGAGTAAAAAAAGAAAGCTGGAGACAAATTCATACAAATCAACCTCACACGAAGACAGAAGAGAGGATGTTTGAGTGTAGGGATGAAGGGGAGTGGGTGGTGAGAAAGAGAAGGGGTGGAGCCCTTGTCCTTGCAAAGTCTAAAGACGGTGACTTCAAACAACTATCAGGCTCCAGGGGGCTAGGCTTGGGAGAAGAAGTTTACGTTAAAAATTAATATAAAAGTTCAAAGCCGTTGGGAGGGAGGAGGAAGAGAAGGAAACAGAAAAGGAAGGGGACGTGAAGAAATGGTGGGGGGGCCCCCTCGATTTCTGTGGGTTGACTGAGTGATGGCGGTGGGCGGTCAGGCAGACAATCGAGAGCACTCTGATGGAGCTGTCGGCAGATGTCTTTGGATGTGGCTGTGCTGCAGATTGGCAGGGAGAAATAGATGATTTAAGCAGGAAGCCTTCAGAAGTGACAGGACTCAGGAGACCCGGGGAGGAAGTCACTCTCGCAGCACTTAGTCAGCTGCCACACCTCCAAATCACCTTCACGTGGTACTACTCAAAGACACAAAACTAGATGCTGCTCACTGGAGCAGACACAAACACGTCTGATTGACACATAAATATTCCTGTTAAAACAAAAAAAACATACAGGTTTCAACAGTGTGATCCGGCACATTTTGTTTTGTGAAAGAAAAATAATAACCTGGGTTTTCTTGGTTCAGTTCAAAAAAACTAAATAACTATGTGGGCTATTATTAATGAAATTAGTCACAAATAAAAGTTGACAATTGTACGAGAATCACAGGGAGTATATGGTCTTCCTAGATGTGAGAGTCCACTGATGGTCGATAACAGACATTTGGAGAGGTAAGAAAGCAATTTCTTTGCAGAAGTGGTTACGGCTCTGCAGGCTGCTAAATATTACACCAGGAACCCCTGTATAAACACGCCTCATCTCCATAGACGAGCAGGAGGTGTGTGTGTGTGTGTGTGTGTGTGTGAGAGAGAGAAAGAGATTAGAGGAAACACATTGTTACTAAAAAAAAAATAAAGCTACTTTTCTTTTCTAAACTAACATAACATAACATAGCTGTTGAACCAAACACAACAACTTCCCAGATCCATCCCTTGAGGAACAATCGTGCCTGTCCCTGAAACATTGAACTGTAACTTGGGTCTGAAACAGTGCTATCAATGGAGTGCAGAGGGACGTCCAGTCAGACTTGGGTCTCAACACACTTGTGGCAGCAAACAATATGTGTGGAATTACTTAAACATGAAATTGAAAGAGGTTTATAAAAAAACTATTGAATGGATTTCCATGAAATTTGGTGGAAGGATGGGACAAATCTTGGCATCCAGTCAGTAGCTCAGCTACTTTGGACTGAACAGCTCAACAACTCATGACATGACACGATATGATTGTGTGAGGGAACATTTTCCCTCTGATTAAAAAACAGCGCCAAGTAGAATTAGTTGTATTCTATCCATGCAACAGCCAAAAGGAATATTATATCTTTAAAAATGAAAGAAAGAGAAATCATATGGAATGGACAGAATTTTCAACACACAGAAACAGGAAATTATGCTTTTAAAACATAATATACAAAACAGTCAGTAGCACATTACTTTCTCAGTAATGTTTGCATGATTACATATAATAATAAAAATCTAATTCAAAAGCAGGATGCATTCTTTCAATCTTATTGTTCAAATGATTTGTATTTTAATTTCTTCTAGAAAGATGATGAATGATATTTAGGTACCTTGTCACTCTAATTCTGACTCTGAACACTCACAGGAGCAAAGGCGTTCATCTATCGACTGTTTTAACCCAGAAGCATCAGCGTGCCCTTCAAAACAGAGTTTCAATGTCCTACTTATCAAATCATGAAAAGCAGTCATGTCTGCCCCCTTAATAGAAACCAGTGGACCACAGTGGACTGTCAGGGTTAATAGAGGAATGCTGTACCTGCAGTGCTTTGACCAGTGCTCCATTTCTGCCGGCTTCTCCCACCAGAACAACCCTTGTCTCCACTTTTGGCAGCATATCTGAGGGAGCAACAGAGGGACAGAGTGAACATGGAGGACAGGGGAATGTAACACACCTACACTCATACCTTAATAGAAGCCAGTGGACCACAGTGGAAGAAAAGAAAAATTGGAAAAGAGACCGATCAAGAAGCATGTCATCTCCGGGAGATGATGAGAGTTTTCTCATTCTGACCGACAGGAAGGGGCCCCAGTCAGACAATACACTTTTATAATTGATAAAGTGCAAGAGAAAAAGAAGACTGCATAGAAATTAGGTTATTAATATACAAGTAACAGAGGAGCCCAACATATAGTATAATCCCTTTAGGAGAACTAATTTCAACTCCCAAATAAAAACAGATGATATGATATTTTGAAATAACATATTAGCTACTGCTACTAGACTATTAAAAATACTTTGAATTACTCATTTTTTCATACCATCACCAGTCAATCTATTTAAGAGTCACTGTCAGTAGCATTATATGAGGAAAGCAACACTTCCAGTACTAAGACAATACTTTTGGAGGCAAAGTTGCATGCAGAGTCACGTTACTTTAGTGGTCGGCCAAATTCACAAAACAAAAACTTGAGCTTAAATAGATGTGAACTCATCTACACTTGTTACACATTTTAGTGATCCTTAACTTAAGTGACTGCAGATATAACTTGTTTGTTTCTGAGTATGTATTTCTGTTGTGTGAAATAAAAGAAAATGAAGTGCATCACCAGATATCAGTTTTATTACCCTGCCGTCTTCTACATTGATCTGTCACTACTTTATAAAAACAAACTACCTTTGAAATAACTAATTTTCTAAATTCTTCAGTGCCATCATTACATTTCACATTATTATTTCCCCCCTTAGATGGAGCAGCAGTTCCTGGAAAATAACTAATGAGTTAATTCTTCACCCTCCAGGAGAATCCTGGCTCAAAGATTAGAAGTTTAAATGGGTCCACCAAACTAAAACTGCCTCTAATGCTGAATTCCACAAACACACATGCTATGGTGCCTTCCATCATACAAGTTGAAAACAGTTCCCACAAAATGTACCCAATTAACTGAAAACTGAGTATACGTGTAAGTTTGTAACGTAGAAGTCAAGAATTAGTTGAATAACTTATTTTGAAATATTTGCGCAATCGCTCAAGTGATAGCTTTTTGGCACACAGACGGGAATCTAGATTTTGATCACCTTCACTGACACCGAAGGTCACACATGGTATAAGTGCTGTTTTTTAATATTTAAACCACAGCAGCAGCTTAGTTGGGGGACATTTGAGATTAGAGAGAATTAGAGACAGGAGAAGAAGCAAGAGAAGAAAAAATAGTGACCCAATGCAGACTGACCTTCCCCATCTTCAGACGCCATGCCCAGAAATACATGGTCCTTGGTGGTTTCGCCGATCCTCGAATCATAGACCGAAGAATCCACCAACAGGCTCCGAGCTGTCCCCAAAGTCACTATGCTGCTGTCAGCCATGGCAGGAACCTAAGGAGGCACCAAACTGTCCAAACTATCAAAAGTTACAGGGAATGAACAGAGGGAGACACAGAGGGAGAACACAGTAAGAAGGGAGAAAGTACAGCAACAAGGAAAAAAAGGAGAAGGGTGACAACTGTCAAACCAAAGGCAAATAACACTTGGCAAGACTTCAAACACAAATACTGCCTGAGTTTGACAATTCAACTGGAGAGAAAGCAACATGTTTGGGAACTGTGATAACTTTGGTAGAAACCAGGCAGGGTGGATGGAAAGTTTGTTTCTGAAACTTTGCATTATGCTGGGTTGTTTACATAACAGCAGTGAAACTGTATCTGCCAGGCTTAATGAAAAGTAGTTGTCAGTGCAGATTAGTGGTGTTGAGACCAGGAAGAATCTCAGTGTTGACAACTCCTTCAGTCACATTGGTGGTTATGACTAAATCAGACTGTTACAACGTTACAGAAGCGTCTTTGATTCAAAAACTAATTATTTATTGATGTGAAGTTATAACTAACGTCACTTTTACCTGCTCTCGTGTTCACAGTTTCTTACTGTGATGTGAAACAACACTGATAAGTTAGCAGGAGTATTATCATCAACCTAATCTCACGGCCAGTTAACGTTAGCTGCTTAGACAGTGCCACCACATTCCTTTACCTACGTGACCAGAAGTCGTCTTACGTTAGATGGTTAGTGTTCGTGCAAGAGTAAGAAACTCAAAGCAGACCGAACTCACCGCTTGTTTTAGTGGATACGACCTGAGAGAACTAGTTGAACACACGGAAAAGAACCGTAAAACGGAGCCTTCGGATACAAACCGGCTGCTCAGCCAGTCAAAGAGAATTAGCTCTCCAGCTAACGTAGCTAGCTTCCGGGCTAGTAAGTCCACAACACTACGAACAAGTCCTGGTGATTCCTCTTCGGTCCAAAACTGTCCTCACAGATAAAGTAACATGTCTCCGTTGAACTTCGAGCCCGTATCAACACATTGTTGTTGTTTCTGTGTGGAAACAGGCAAACTGCTCGAAGTGTGGCCGCTTCAGTCCGCAGACAGCAAACAACTTCATAATGGCCCAGAGAAGGTGTCAGCCTGCTGCCCAATTCAAAAAGCAAGGAAAACAACGGTGCCGCGCGCTCATTGGTCAACAGAGCCCCGAGCGCCAGCGGCTTCCGCCCTGCAAGGCCGCTGATTGGTCCGTTCATTCAAATCTCGATGCTCACTGCTGTTCTGACGAGACATGCCCCTTCACGTGCTGTGGGAGATATGAAACACTTGATCTTCTGGACAGAGCAACATCAACTAATTCATAATTAGAAAATTAATTATTCCATTTTAATCCACGGATATAAAATTAATGATATTTTCTAGCTTCATGACTTCATGTACAATGCAACTGACAGGTTTCTATTATTCTATCATTATTGAATTAATTTAAAGAAAATACTGCTTTCTATTCTGCTGCTGTCTATTTTTTATCCACAAAATGTTGATGCAACATTTACCAAAAATGTTTATGGGTCTATTTTCCCTGACAAAAACAGCTGACCTGACTTTACTTAGTGAAGTAAAGTGCGCAAGGATTTGGATATTTTTACTTTAAACATTGTCAAAGGACAGGTTCTTTAAAATAAAAGTCAATTTAAATCACTGCTTTCCAAAAATGTATCCTGGCTTTTCCTCTGCAGATCCAGATCACTTCTTAATTTCATGCTGATTTTGTTCATATTCCAGGGTGTGTTTGTTGTCCAATGTGCAACCTATTCTAATAGGGCATGGCTTAGCACTGCAATAAGCACTCTTACATTGGCAGAAACCGCTTTGCTCATTATCATTAGGTCCAGTTGTAAATAAGGTGCAACAAGATGTTTGTTGTAAACATGTAAACATATGACCTAAAGACAGACCCTGTTCAGATCTGTGTTTAAGGTCTCAGATGAGTACAGGTTTGAACACACCCACAACAATGCATTAAGATCCATTTACTTAGATAGATAGATAGATAGATAGATAGATAGATAGATAGATAGATAGATAGATAGATAGATAGATAGATAGATAGATAGATAAATTGATTGATTGATTGATTGATTGATTGATATAGATAGATACTGAACTCCAAAATGGTCCCCTCTCATAGAGAAAGTACCACACATAGATGCACTGTATGAATGAGTGTGTGAATGAGTGTGTGAATGGGTGAATGACAAAAACTGTACTGAAAAGCATTTTGTGTGATCAAGATTAGAAAAGCTTGTTGGTTGTGAACTGACATACTTAGAACTGTCCATTTGTCAAAGCATATAGCATTGTGGCATAAGTGTTCTACCTCTGTGGTCCCGCAAGAATATCAGACACATCCTCCTGTAACCTGAGACATTGTATTTGATGCCAGCCGCAACCTCCTCATATGCATTCTGAGATTCACCCCAATGAGAGCAGAATGAAGATGACGATAACAATTTTCAATTCCAGGTCTAATGATGAATTTATTATTATTATTATTATAACTATTTCCAAACCACCAATATGTTATTCTTGAAATCTACATGGTTGTTACCCAGTGACTGGATTAGGAAAATGATTTATATTGACTAAAAATGCCTATTAAATACACAGTCACATACATATATAGCAACAGAATACTGTACTCACAAAACTCAGGCCAAACTCGAGTCCTAACTTACAGTTGCTGCATGATGATGCATCAACTGGCTGCAATTTGGAGAATTTACCTCATCTTTCTGTGCTTGTCAAGTAGTTGGCTTCACATAAAGTAATACAACAATCTGTCTCATCACACATTCAAACACACACAAAAGCAGGTATACACATTACAGACACACACAAACAGCTGCCCTTTGGGAAGCAGCATGCGGTCTGGAGGATGGTGAACACAAGCTATTCCTTTGTTTTTCTTCCTCTGTGGTAACTTTTGTTGTTAAATCCTTCGTATGCTCATCATATTCCTCCCCCAGTCATACATACTGACACACACACACACATAATCTCTGTCTGTCTTTCTGTATTCAGCCCTCAGGAGCTTCACTGTGTGGAACAAAGCTTTGTCAAGACCATATCTCCCTTCTGTCCAGGTTTGTCCTCTCTATACTTCCTCAAATCTTTATATTCCTAGCTCAGTGCTCTCTGCTCTTTGATGCTCAGTCACCAAACACACACAGATATGAATAGACACAAAGGTAGTGGGAGACCACGCACTCTTGAGATGTAAACAGGCCACCACAAAGTTACAAAATCAACCAGGGAAAATTCTTTCACCAACTCTTTTTCTACTGAATAACGACGATTCATGTTTGGCGAAGTCTTTATGGTGTAGACCTCTGAGAAAAGTGATTCACAAAATACAAAAACAAATACTAACTTTCATGATAAAACTGTTAAATCTCCATCAAGTCATGATAATGGAGTTCAATTAAAATACAAAAGTTACAAGGTTGGTTTTTTTATTTGTGTATCCCTACATATTAGTTCGGCTATCGTAGAGGACAGATTCATAAAAGTCATAATTTCTTTTTTGGAATTAAGTTATTTTTCGTAAAGCTTAATCAGGTGATACCTAACACAAAGTAGCTAGCTAGTTAGCTGTCAATATGATCAGGAAGGTAAAAAAAAGGGGGTAGAAAAAATTAAAAAGCAAAAATTAGCATGAGGAAAATACTAAAAGGTCTTGATATTAATTAATGAGTTTTGCTTTTGAGGTGGTGACAAATTCTCTGTTCTCCTCCAAAATTTTTCTTTATGCAGGTTTTGAGTCCATAGCATCTGTGGAAACACAGACCAAAGGCCCAGCTATGGAGTTCACCAAAGAGGCACCATGCCACGATGACACATTTTAGTTTTTAAATCGAATGTATAAACTGCCTGAAAATGTAAACACTTAGGTAAGGATGCCTTTAGGTAAACAACAATAGCAAATTGTTTTTGTGACAAAGCTATGGAGTTACTAGAGGAGGCTAAAGAGCTGCATCTTGTTCAGGTGCCACAGCTTAATGACCAATGCAAGAAACAGATCAAATATAAAGCTTTCCTTTTTAACGTGAGACCAGGCTCGTTTGGTGTGGTTTTATGTTACCTGTAACAGTTTGTTGTTTTGCTCACATCGTGTTCACGTTACTCAGAACCTTTATGCACCTTGTTTTCCTGGCTTGACATCGGAGGATGTTTGTGCTTTCGGCTTCAACCCCTTTACCGCAAAAAAGTATCTTGTTTGTTCCTTGCACTGACTTTCTGTTATTTTTAGCATATTTGATCGGCAGCAGAAATTCTGTGGTTCAGTGTTCCGATTGAGAATTCAGAATCGCTCAAAACATGTATTATCAACAGTAGATGTCATGTTTTAGATTTGCCTTCCTGCTGAAAAACAAATCTTTACTTTGAAAACAGTGACTGGCAACGTTTCTCTGAAAATGTAAATAACAACCAGGTAAAATATTCCTCTCCTAAAAAGGATAAACTGAATGACAGCAGTTAAAGACAGGGAGACACATTGTGATTTGTGAATATGGGCTATTCAAATAAAATTTGATTGACTGATTGAGTTGAAGCCTCTGAAATACAAAGGATTGATTTTTAGTCAAATCATTTAAAAAACAATGAGTCACATTATTTTCAAGTCTTCCTTTAACCCCATGGTATCCCCTCATTAAAAATAAGACAGAAGATTTACTCCATGTGCTATGTGCTCAATCCAGTACCTTACATTTATCGTTTGAGGGTTGCAGGAGGGGTTGAACCCAATCTGAGCTGACATTGGGCGAGAGGCAGGGTCCACTCTCTTCAGGCCATTGTACTACTGGGCCAACATAGGAAAACAACTATTCACACTCATATTCACAACTGCGGTCAATTTAGAGTGTCTAATTATTCCAAGCCCATTGTGCATTTCTTAGGACTGTGGGAGGAAGGTACCCACCAGTAACATTCATGCTGTGAGGCAACAATTTGAATCACTGCACCCCGCGCCCCCTCACTGTGAGCATAGATTTTTAAAATAGAGCCTAAAGAGTCAACAGCAATGCTAGTGGCCTCTGTGATGCTGTGATGGTACAGTGGGGCTTTAAGGCTCCAACCTGCTACATGCAGTGAACTGTGATCTCCTCAGTGTGGTGAGGTGTGTGGGCTGTCGGCAAAAGGGTAAATATTCATGGTGCTTCGGGCAAACACTGCTGATGCTCTCCAATACTGCACTGGAGTGGAGTCTGCAGTTTATAAAAACACAGCGGAAGGCTATAATAGAATAGAATAGAAAAGGAAAGTAGGAATAGTTGAACTTGACAGTTCTTGGCAAAAAATATTTGTGTCCAACATGTGTTGGGTTTTGCATTTTTCTAATCTTAATACTGTCAACAGATTAAAAAAATTAAGACGCATTGAACTCCACACTTAATTAGGTGCAGCGTGTCACAATGGGTTTTTCTGTCTTTTCTTGTGTCTCCCCCTCCTGTGTGTGTGTGTGTGTGTGTGTGTGTGTGTGTGTGTGTGTGTGCATGCTTCACTGTGCCGGCCACAATCTGCCTCTGCCTGCTAACCCAGAAGAGACAGACTAGCAGAAATTACCGGTTTTATCTCTCTTCTAAAGACACATCTTAATTAGAAAAACAGCTTTTATTGCATTATGTCTATACTTTTATTATCTGTATCATTAGCATAACTGTTTTAATCTTTGAACTTCATATTATTTGTTGTAAAGTACATATTTTTGATTTGTATAGAAAAGTGCAATACACTCGAAATAAAATGTTGTGATTCCTCTCTGACAGCGTGTGTTCACCACCTAACACCCACTGAAATAACATCTCGTTTGAACACCCATCACCCACGAGTCTTGTGTGTGGGTTAGAGAACACAGCAAGGTGTTGGAAGAGTATCTCATCTCCTCTGTTCGCACTGTGCTTCATTAGCTCTTAGTCTCAGGGTCTGTGCTTGTTATATGCAGTTACAACATAAGTGAAAAGCTTGTTTTCTTCTTGCTCATGCTTGTTTTAAGATCGAGTGCTTATGGTTGCTGAGAGAGCTCAATGCACTACAATAAAGTGATGAACCTGACTTGTTCACTGTTCTGACTTTTAAAGTTACTGAAGTTGGATTCTCGTCAATGTTTTTTTATTATTATTCTGAAGCAGCAATTGGACATTGTTGGGACTGGTAACAAAAAACAGTATTCCAGCAGGTACACCAGAATAATGGTGCAAGTCCTTGGAACAGTTCCCAACACTGATCTTGAGAAACTTCAGTGTATCCCTGTTAAACGGCGATCTTGAGGATCCAGTTGTACCACATTGTCATTAGGACGTGCAGAGCCTAGAGGCTTAGCTCTGAATATGATAGTAATCTGCAAACTCTAATTATCCCTGAAAGATTCCTGAAAACATGAGTTTGTACTCATCAAATTACCTGTGAAGTGGTTGACAGTGTTTAATAAATTGTGTACAGAAGCTGGAAGCACAACTAGATGACCAAAAAGGTTTAAACTAACACCTTTTGCAAGAGTCAGTTTATTTCAAGATTTTCTTTTCCCCCAATGATCTCTAGTACGTGCAACAACAGCAACTGTGGAGTGATTTGTACAGTCTTGTGTGTACTGTACGGATGTTGCCCTTGTCATGGTACTGACGTTCAAACATTCAAAATAAAACAGCAGTTTTTCTTCAGCACTGTTAGTGTATTGCTTTTATTCCATTTGTCCATGTTCCCTCAACACTCTTTATGTAGTCGCTAAGCTACTGCAGTACTTAGTAGCTGTAACCAGTTACTTCAATGCAATGCTAAAAAGTGTGTATGAACTGCTTGGGTATAATACAGTCATCAACATACTTAGGGTTTTGAACAAAACTGTCATCTTTAACATCGATTAAATATGTTTAATGGTGGTTTATGTTCTCTTTGTTCTTGTGCTTGTGATTGTGACATAAAATGTATACATGATTCAGATATTCCACACAATATTAACGTGTTTATCCATGATACCTGCTGGGGTCTGGATAAGCTATATAAGGTGCTTTGAGTCCACAAACAAACAAAGCAATCACTGAGAGCAGCCTGGGCTGGTGTTAGTAAATCCAAAAGACCAGGTCCAACTTTTATCATTTCTATATGGCACTGTTATTGAGGGGGGTGCTGTTCCTCCAGTGCAAGCAGAGAAATAACAGCAGAAATGTTTGAAGATTATGAAAAGGAAAACGCTTTCACACAGTACTTTTGTGATGTTTCTCTTTTCATGATCTGAAACCTACCTTTGTTTTTGTTAATTATTTGCTCGTCTGACTATTGGATAGTGAGGCAAAGGATGGTATCTGATTGTAGGTGGTCTGTCTGTGACAGGAACTTTCCTTTCCAATGTAGAATAGTGGTCTCAATTTTAGGTGCTACACCGAGCACTTCTGTATCAATTCTTAAATGTATAAGCTTGGGAGAATATAAGGAGTTTATACACACAAAAAAACACAGTGACAAACTTCATATTGTCAATGCATATTATCACAATGAAGCAATATGTACATTACAATGACAGATACAATATACAGATTTGATACATTCTATAGTTTTGTTAAATGGCAATTAAATTGCAGGATGCAGTTCAACTGAAATATTTTCTTTACAAAGATACAACATTTTTTTAATAAATGCAGGATGAGGATAATATACAGCATTTTCAAGAGAGTGTGACTTTACAACCAGACTAATATTAATGTGTATGAAAAGACTTCTGCCCTCTGGTAACCAGTGAATTTTAACATCTTTACATTTCCGTCTTTCTGTTGATCCACCCAACCATCAATCCATAAACCCACTCAGCAGTTGCAACATCGATGCATCCATTCATCCATCTACAAATCCATCCATCCATCTATCCATCTTTAATTGCTTGTAATGGTCAGGGTAATTAAACTCAGACTTGTCTTAAAATACTTTACTCTAACTTTCTTCCATAGTAACTTCGTCTTACATTCTGACATGTATTCAATCACTAGGTGAATATTTACCCTTTTTTACATCCTTTCAGTTTGTTCTTTCTTTTTTTTCTAATAACTTACACATCAAAGATGCCATTTACACATTTACACATATGAAACCTTCAGGCCCCTTCATGTCGGGCTTCATCTGTTTGTGAATACAGTGGTGCTGTTTTTAGATTTCTCAGTGAATAGTCCACAGAATTCTGTCTGTCAGTAGAAATACAATATTGTAAAGCCTCTGAGAGTGATACAGCAGTTGTACAAATTGATATTTACACATTTACTATAATACCCTCCTGGCATTCAGTGTGCAGTGCTATTTTCATCTGCTTTCCCTGAAAAATCACTCGGAGGCAAGAGCCGAACATTTCCAGGTGTTTCTCACAACATACAGCAGAGTATGTCCTAAAATACCTTGCAAGTGAAAAGCCCATTATGTGCAGATGAGTCCAAGCAGAATAACATGTCAGAAATAAATCTGTTTCCTGACACATGATTTAAACAGCACCCCATCTATCTGTGGAATTTATGTGCTTAAGTAACGATTGATTCATCAAAAGCCATTTGGCGTCTTCCGTCTGTGATTCACCATATTTGTGTAAAGATAAACTGGAAAACGCATTATGACTGATTTATTTCTGCTACAGAGTAATTTAGCTCTCATTCTTTTCAATTGATGCACCTTTGACAAACTGTATCAAGCTGCACCAATCAATACATTTTACTTAACACTGAGTTAAATGACTGTGTATGATTATAGCCTATTTTAGCTCATTGTTTTGGTTGTTTTGGTGCTTCCGCTCTCGCCAACCTTGTCTCTTAATGCTTTGGGCAAGCTGTCCACAAGCATCACAGTACCTTGCTTGGCACCAGAAGGCAGATAAACAAAGTTAGGGACTAGTCTATAGCTCTACACAGAAAATGCATACAGTTTTATTTTTCAACAGCTGTGTATAGACTAAAACACAGCAAGAAAGTTAACATGTGACTTACATTTGTCAGGTTGCCAGAACCAACTGATTTCCAATGTAACCCCATATCTGCTTGATGCCTTACAGTAAAGTACATGCTAACATGGTAGCATTGTCAACATTATAAGACAGTTTTTGACCAAGAATGTCTAAAAATAAACTAACAGGATATAATACAGGTTTTGTCCAGACATAGTTAACCAAGAAGAATATCTGGGTTGTAAATGCCTATATAAAATGGTGATATCTTTCAACTTCAACTTCAAGCGCAGAGATAATATACATCATCTGATGTCATTTAATGGCATTGTCTACTAGGGTGAAGAAAGGCAAGCAGGACAACTTGTAGTTTCTTCTGGAGACTGCAGCTGCTGTGGAGGGTCTGTAATTTCAACCTGGAGCAGATGAAGCAGATAAAGCGAGGCAGCAGAGGCAGAACCTGGTCTCTAAGAGATTTGCATCAGCGCAGTGTAGCAGCAAAACAGGGCATCATGCCAAGGCCTGCTCACAATCAGCACATGGAGGTGATCATGTTTTCCTGTGGTCATAAAAGTCAAAAATGGGATCTGACACTTCAGGTATCCAGCCCAGCCACTGCATTTTCTACAGTATTTAATCTGAATTCATCCACACTTGGATGTAAATGTCACTGTCCACGTCCGTCAGTCTTTAGGCCCCAGGAACGACAGCTGGTTGAGTTCAAATACTTGTATGGCTTCCCCGTGGTCACATTCAGGCCTGTTAAGGTTCCAGCTTTTTGAAGACTTCACTTAGAAGCTTGAAAAATGTTGGTTTAAAAACAACAACAGGCCATATTTGTAGATTATTAGAACTACATGTAAAAAAAAAACTCATAGTCATTGATATTTCAAGTCCAGCTTAAGAAATTACAGTTTAAAAACTATAGTTATAGGGTTATCAGTCATGTTTGCGATACAACAAAATGCTTGTCATCCAGTGTAATGAACAACATAGTCAGCCATGTTTAGCTGCTGTCCTGAGACACACTTCCCCATTCACTGGCTTCATTTTCGTCTGACTCGGAGAGAGCTGCTGTACACAGTTCACTGAAGATATCTGAAAAAACAAGAGACATTCATGTCAGCTTCAACTTCAAATACAATCTTGTATCTTATTATACAAGATATAAATATGCAGGGAAAAATGGAAAAGGAATATATGGACAAACTGTGGCGTTCAGACAAGGATGCACAGCCTGCACTCATGAGCCAATAAAACAAACCAAACAATGAAGCATACAGTATATGACACACATACAACATACAATAAAACTGAGTACACCCCTGTGCAATATCACTTAATTGTTAAATCAGTTAAAAGTGTCATCTTATAATAATTGTATTATTTCAAAATTGACATTGATAAGCCTCTCCATTTATGTTAGACACTGTCTTTTGTAATGAATGTTTTAAATATTATTTTTTTATTGTTTCAAAACTGAGATGTAGCGTGCAAGTGGGCGACAGTGAGGTGATGATGAACAAGAAACAGGTGAGCAGGTGGATCTGGCAATTGGGTAACCGGGACAGGAACTAAAGTCTGAGGACAAGTAGTGGGCAGATGGAGAGTAACAGGAGTAATGGACAAGAGAGCCCTGAGTCCAAGCATGACAGGGATGTCTCAAAATGACATGATCCTGAATAATGCAAAACTCAAATAAGAGTTTGTAAGACAGAAAAAAGTCTCCTGACTTGAATACAATAGAAAACCTCTGAAGTATGCATGGATTTATAAATACAGTCTACTCGTGAGAATGGTGACCTCCATTGGAGAATAGAATTTGCCTTCTGAAATAAAGGTGGACATAAGAACAACTAAAAAACAAAAGAACAGGATCTTACTAATGGAATATGCCCTGAATTTGGTTGGTTCTTAGATATGAACCTGTCATCAAAGTTTAAGGAGTCCAAACATTTGTTTTCCAAATAAATAGGATTTGTAATTACATGTTTAAGTTACACGTTAGTGATATTAACCCGGGATGTACTCAGTTTTCTTGTATACTGTAAAAGTGAGGCATTCAGTTTCTGTCAGCCAGTAAAGTGCTCCAAGAATTATAGGGAAGGCAGACATTGGCAATCACTACAGACAGGTGAAGAGGTCTTGTAGTAAACGGGCTCCACTTAACTAAAATACTGGAGGGTAACTGCTAGAGCATGTAATTCTGTCCTCATCACAATAAAAAAAGCCAGAACAAAACAAAACAAAACAGACAGAGAATAAGAAGGAGGCTAAAGGAAGAGAAAAAGGTGATCAGGTGAGGAGAGCGGAGGGGATAGTTGATTCAAAGAGGCTGGAGTAGAGAGAGAGTTCCGCAACAAAACAAGCGAGGCCATGACAAACACTTCAAGGACCAGCCTTCAAGCCGGCATGAGAGGGGGTAAATGGCGAAGAGACGGATGGAGAAGAGAACAGAGGGGACAATGAAGTCGGGAGAAGGGAGAGGCAGAGAGAGCACTGAGCCTAGGAGTGGCTGTCCAGCATGAAGTAGTGAACTCATCAACTGGGTACTGACTCTGTGCTTATCCTCCTCAGTGATATAAAAGGTTTTTGTATATGGAGTTACTGACTGTAAATACCAAGTTGACGGTTGTCTTTAATGACGTCCTCACATAGTAACCTGTAATTGTAAGGGTGAAAAGTTGAGAAACCTGCACCCAATGTATCATGTATATGTAAAAAATACCATGTTTTGCTGTTGCTGTTTTACTTCTACTACAACACTGTTATAAACTATAATTCAATAGATTTTGGCAGAAACATGATTAACATGTACATTTATCCTAATGTTTTTTTTCTCAGTTTTCTTCAAAACACAATGTTAACCCTCAGCTCACTCAACAAAGGCAACAGAGCTCTATGTTCGGCAACTGGATGTTTCTTACGACCCCCCTGGAGGTTGTGGTACGAGTTGTCCTGTATAATGTAGCTACATATCTGTTGTACTGATGATTCAACCAGAAGACCATTCATAAGTCAAGTCTTCAATCTAACCTTCAGTCACCTAAAGTTGTTTATTCTGAAAATGAAGATCACGAAGCCCTCGATTTCCCAAATAACAAACCCTGATATGACAGAGCACACGTTTTTATTCTAAAATGCGGAAACAATGCATGTCGTGTACAGTCTTACAAAAAGTCTCAAAGTACATTTTGTTATTCTGAGTCCACTCCCAGGTCGAGAGAGAGAGAGAGAGAGAGAGAGAAAGCATTCATGGGCAAAGTGTAATAAGGGGAATTTGCTTCAATCAGTGACATCATGCTGATTATTCAACTCAACAAGCCAAAGCTCTTCCATCCCCATCCGCTCCATCTTTCCATCCAACTTGAACCCTATCCAACCGTCCCTCCCTCTCCCAGAGCAGTGGCTCGCCCCAGCCCACCCAATCCCTGGGCATGGGGCCCAACTGCCGAGTGAGAGAGCGAGGGAGCAAATGACCAAGTTGGAGTAAAGTAATGGATGGGTGGAGTGGCTGGGCAAGTGAGTGTGTTACAGCAAGGCGGTTAGTCAGAAGTCTCAAGTGTTGTTACTTCATGAGTGACCTCGTTCAGGTGCTGTGTGCAGTGTACTGGATGGAGCCAGCACTGTCTCCTCTGTTAAAAGGTTCTTCACTAGCCTAGAAACACAGTACAGGGGAGGGTCTTCACACGCTCACAGGACAAAAGGAAAAACAGGAACACTTGATCTTACAGCTCCCATACGTTGTTCATTTCCTACAAGGGAACTGCTGTCGAACAGTGACTGTTTTTTAATAACACAAGTAATGTAAAGTTTTTATTTAACATAATCCAAACAATGAATCACACTGAATCCTCACAAACTGCGAGTCTGAAAAGAGACAATGTTTTCAATCATCTGATTTTTACTCACTGTAAGATTTGGACATTAAGTTTGCAACAACAGTAAATACAGTGAGTAAGATGGAGTTAGGGCTGATGACAGATGACAGATTTCACAGTATAGTAAAGGGTAGGACATTACACAAGTCATTCGAGTGGTTGTAAACCACCAGAACAACAGAGACAGCTTCCGACAAATTAATCTATATCAACATCGCTTTGACAGATTCTCCATCATGTTTTCCACTTAGAGATATTCAGCAGCTTGGTTACACACTTCACATTTGTTCAGTCAATCAAATAGTGTAGGTCCATTGTGGGGTTCACTGACAGCTGTTTCAGCTGGTTTAGAACCAGTTAACCAAGAAAAACCTTGAAGGTTTGCCCAAGAACACGCTGAAACTGAGAATGAATTTCTTTCTGCAGAGGTTGACAGAATAACCACTTATGGCACAAATAGTAAAATATATATGTGAGAAAAGATAGTGAAGTGAATTTGTGACTGAATCTTATATGAGCCTCCATGTGAGTGGTTGCTAAGTTGGATGTTGTGAGTGGCTTTGATGGTAAATGGTTTGGTTTCTATTTATTAAAAGCCTTTCTAGTCTTGATGACCACTCAAAGCGCTTTACAGCACAGTTTGCCATTCACCCATTCACACACACATTCATACAGTGCATCTATTGGCAGCACTTATTTTGTTCTATGGGGCAATTCGGGGTTCAGCATCTTGCCCAAGGACACTTTGGCATGCAGATGGGAAGACTAGGGATCGAGCTGCCGACCTTCTAAATATGCAAGTTTGTCGACGTCGAGGACCCACATTGACAAAATATTCTTCGAATGTTAAAATTATAAACTCAAATCTACTCATTTCTACTTTTATAAAAGAGTAACTCAACATCAGGGAGAAAAGTCAACCCAACAAGAGCCACAACACACTCACACATAAACACACACACACTCAAAGAGTTGAATAGTGTGTAGCTTATGAGCTGCTGTACAACTACATTTATACTGTATATAGTTCAACCCCCTACATTCAGAGTCACACCCCCCCACACCGTTTTCCTGTACATGACTCATGTTTTACATAAATACTCTGATCCTGGTTCACCATCAAGGATGTGCAAACATCAGACTTTCACAGACATAAAGCTTGAGTCTTGTTAAGGGATCAGTTATGAAATGCTAACGTTGCACAGAGTGTCTCTGCTGTCTCCTGGCCACCAGAGCACGGAGGTTCAGAAACCAGCTGTACTGTCCGATGTTCTGCTCTTCTCTCACTGTTAGTGTTGTGGTGCAGACATTAAAAGACGACAAACTGCCTAACTGTTGCTCCTGCAGTGCTCTGTGCATTGTGAGGCTGCTCAAAGTTTCTCAGGACCCAAAATACTGACTCCGAATAAAGGTGCAGTGAAGAATATATAATATGAACATGCTTCCAGGTTTCTGTATAGCAGGCAGGTAGTTTGGCAAACAGAAAATTCAAAGTTAAAAACACTGAGCACAAGGTATCAACAGGGGAAACAAACAGGAGCATGAAGAGAGCCCAGAGAGGACTGGGAGCACACGAACTAAACCACACAAAGGTGGCAGGGATAACTGGAAAAAGTTGAAATGCATCAGGCCAAGACAGACACAAACACACACACACACACACGCACGCACACACGCACAACACAGTTTTGCTCATTGGGACCAAATCTTTGGTGCACTGGTCCTGACAAAGTCAGTGTTGATGCTGGAAAAGGTCCTGAAGAGGAAACAAAATGAACACACACACACACACACACACACACACACACACACACACACACACACACACACATATTTATATTTGTTCCAGAAGTTGATCTGTACACACATAGACAAACACAATTGCATGAGCACATGCATCCAGCAGCACGCAGTTCATCAGTCACATTCAGTCATCCTCTGTACGGTTGCACATTAACTTTGATCCAAAGAAAAAGTGAGTGGACTTATAAATTCTTCATTTTCCTCAAGCGAAGAGCAGAGACAAGTGAGACTTTTTAGCTGCAAAAACCCACAGATGCAGTTGACAGGAGAATTTTTTAAGAGGCTAAAATATGCATGAGCTGATGCATAAATGAGAATATTCAAAGCAAGTCAAGCTTTTATCTAACAGAGTATTAGTCACTTCCGAGAGCAGCGGGCTCGCGTGAGACGACAACACTATCTTTGCTTTGGACTCCATGAGGCCGTTTCTCTATGAAGACGGTATAGCCACTGTTTTCCTGGAAAGCTAAAAGGATAGATTGCAGTGGTGTGGGAAATGGAATGGTGATTCATTATTCATCTGAAGCCATTGTGTTTTCAGACGTCTTGATTTCACAATACACCATTAGTCAGACATTTTGTTGTCTACCACAGCTTAATCGGGGTGATGTTACAGTGAAGCTAAATTGAAATGCAAATCAGCCGCACTGAGCCTTTAATTGATGTAACGAGAAAGCAGGGCAGCAGAGGAGCAGCTGTTTCGCTAGTCTCGGACTAAACTCAAGGTAGATTTCTACCCAGAGATGAAATGGTGAGCGTACTGATTACAGATCCCAACAGAAGAGGATGAAAGCCTTTCCTGATACAAAACTACATAATATCATCAACAGTGATTTCAATCTCAGACAATTCAAAATGAATGCTGTGCAATTCTGAAGCATAATGGTCAATATTTTAGAGACTATGTCAGAGAATCAATGTTTAAGGCTGAAGTTAATGGTGTTGTTGTGATGTTGCATTATCTCAAGACTATGCACTTTCTATATCCATTTATGCTCCTCAGGGTCAGGAAGGCTGGGGCCTGGCATGCATTCAGCTAAAGGCAGGAGTGTCAGTGTGTAACAGTATATAAACCATATATCACTGGCATATATTGATGTTGTAGTGCTCATGTTCAATTGTTTGTAATCCTTCAGTGTCATTATGATATTTTCAATATAAACTGTGAGGTTTTTACGATGGGCCAAGTACTGCACAGATAAACCATGACACAGTTTGTCACTGAGCTGACAAATTGATGATTATCACATTGTTAAAAGCAGGAACGTCCTTCAGTTTGTTTGTGATGATCTCACTCAAAACTCTGGGCTTTCACTCAAACAGCCGCTGCTTGTGCTTAGGTTTGCTCTATGCTCAAACTCTGCCCTTGCACTCAGATATTTTGTTGCTTGGACAGCTTCAGCTCTTCTTCTCACACTCAGGCTGCTTCTGTGGAGCTTTAACATTTGCTATCACTACTTCTAGAATTCTATTATTTGGGTTATTTTGACAGAATCAAACAAATCCAAGAGTAGAGGAGATATTTGAGTCTTTGCTGAGGTCATCATAGAGACTTTCATGACACAGCATGGTTAGCTGACTATGGACTATGATTGACTGAAAAAAAGATGCTGCACACTGATCTGAACTCGTGGATATTGTTTCTGGCTACGAGATGTGAAGCTGTGGAAGTCGCCTGAACAGACTGTGGATATTATCCTCGTCAGGTGGTTAACACCCACTAACAGCTGTTTGTACATATCAGACTTGTCAACACAAACAGTGCAGATGAATTAGTTCAACTTTCAGTTCCTGTCCTGTCAGTGCTCAAAGTGATAATTAGCGTTACTGTGCTGTACTTGATGAGTTGAATCATCTGCTGCTGACAGTCCATGCAGAGCCCCATGGGACAGCAATTTTTTTTTTTAAATATACATACTGATGTCATCTTTTAAAATATGTTTTGGTGGTTGAGTGGTTGGTACTGTGCCTGGATGTTTTGCACATTTAGATTCTAGATTCTGACAAGCGCTTTATGCAACATTATTTATCTGAATCATCAGTCAAAATGGATCACTTTAATTGGCCTGACTGAACTAAAACTTCATCTTTAAAAGTACACAGGTTTGTACAATCGAAACATTGGGCCTCAGTCAATCTTACTTAACAGGAGAAACTCACTTAACTAAACATACACTCAGACAAACACACACACACACACACACACACACACACACACACACACACACACACAGAGAGCCATAAGTCATCCTTGGGGCTGGGCTGTATATTGGCTTGCATTCATTTTGTGAAGTCTTACACTAATTACAACCATGACATCTATTAGTTACTTATTTATAACAATTACTACTATTACTAACATTATTTACTTATTTAACATTATTTAGTTAAATAACTAAGTAACCGAACTTGAAAACTCAACAGAAGTTGTGGCAGGTGAAAAAGTTGTATGTTGAAAAAACTCTTCCAGAGTTACAGCCACTCTGTATTTGAAATAAGCAAACAAATAAAGGTTTTAAATTAGCTGCTTGCAACTGACTGAACAAACTTGTTAATGTAAAAAGACTACTTAGGTGAGGGGTGGCCTGTTTTATATTCCATTAGTGCTTCAATACAAACATTAGTCCACTCCTGTTATTGTTGATATTTTCTTGGCTGCCATGTCCACAACTGAACAATGCTAGGAAATGTAAGGATACGATGTGTTACTTGAAAACTGTTTGTCAGTTGCTCACAACTGTTCTCTTTGGCTGCTTACTCCATATTCAAGCGAAAGAAAAAAATTAGAATCAATTATAGATCGACTACAGGGCAAAGTTTTTCAGAACCAAATGATGAGCATACAAGGATTTATGAACAAATCTTTAAAGTGGGCAGAAAACAAAATAAGGACTCAGTATTAGGTTCCTTTCTGCTCTGGAGAATGTGCTTCCATAAAAGAAATCTTCTGCAAAGAATGCTGAGGCCAAATATAAACTCCTTAGAAGAATGAAGAAAAAAAAACATTCCACAAATGAAAGTGGAGACAAGAGACTTGCACTGCAATTACAGTTTATTGAGGGCACGCAGAGTGAATGAGATGCTCCACATGAGTGCCCTAAATAAAGTATAATCCAGCGTGAGTTTATTTTGGCCTTTTTTGCGAGATTCTCACTCTTGCACTTGGAACAGACTGAGAAGATTGTGTTCTCGCACCTTTATTTGGAGACATAACATGCTTGAAGTGGCAGATGGGTACCCACTTAGCCAGATATTTCAAACAAGGTGCTAAGTTGGGAAGTGTGGCAACCAAACCACGGAAACAATGAGCCGGCAGGAATGTGCTGACTGATTTTCCACATCCTACGGTGGCAACTTAAGGAACTCACCAGTGTCCGTTCTCCGCTTCCTCCAGAAACTGGACCAGGTCAGCGGTCTCCAGAGGAACGTCCCGTGCTTCATTAGACTCATAAGTCAACTGCACCCGCAAACGACTGCTGTCACTCTGCAGAAAGAAATGACTCAGTCAAATTCTGAATTTAGCCTGTTCCATTTCTTCCATATGGCTCCAAGCTCGTATAAATGTGGATTTTTTTCGAAACAGCTCTTCAAATTTAACTGACCATCAATTCACAGGTTAGGTGCTGGTTAAAATGACATATGTCTGCAGTGACAGTTTATATGGACTGGCACTAATTGAGCATAATTGAGTAACTGCCTCAGAAGTTGGAGCAAAACTTGTTAAACATAATTTGCCATTACTCAGCACTGTACACAACAAAGAACGTTGCCATTTGGCTGCCCAGTACTAACACTCCACAATTTGTTCCATTTTGCCTATAATTTGACCCAACTGGCAGAGTTCTATGACAATGATTTAGAATTGTACAACAAAAGTTTTTGCAAATAAAGGAGAACAAACAAAAGTTCAGTATGTGGACAGGGCGACATTGGAATAGTTTTACCCCACAGAGCATCATGAAAGCGAGGAGTGCTCACTCTACAGCTACATAGGGGCAGTAATGTTGCAGATTCTCATTGGAATTTGCTGTTAAACCTTTACTGTAGTATTGTACAGCCTAACAACGCAGAAAGTTTCACTTCTTCTTTGTTGCAGCCTCAGCTGGGAATCACACCTTTTTCTTGCTGACAAACTGAAAGACTTTATATTGCCATCTATGATATAGCACAACTAGCTCCTTGCACTTGCTTGCCTCTGTCAACCAGTCAGGTTGGAAGGATACATGGTCACAATCCGTCCTTCTCTTCCTTGGTTGTGGCACAGAAAAGTGTTTTTGCAGAACATTATGCCAAGTTGACCTTTGACGTTTTGGTTACAGCATTACATCATTTTATCATACAAGACATTTGTGTATAATTTTGTTATCATTTCATTTTTGAGGTAAGGCCAAATTGTGCTGTGAGCATTCATGGTGATCGTGACCTTCTGATCACCAAAATCAAATCAGTTTATTTCAATGTCCAAGTGAACGTTTGAGACTAATTTGAAGAAATTGACTCCAGGCCATTTGGTACGTGAGGTAAAAAAGTGACAAGAGACCTTTACATTACAACCTTAAGTTCAACCATGAGAATGTTTCTACTGAATCGAATCAATTCCCTCAAAGTCTAATCGACTATCGAAATTCTAACCAATTTCTCCTTGAGGCAGAGTGAGTGATTGTCCCAAATTTTAAGAAATTATCCCACCATTCACAAGAGTGGGATCGACAAATGGATGGATAGAGAACCCAAAAACATGATGCCTCCTGCTACTACTGTGGCAGAAGCAGAATATATCAAATATCGACTCCATGTTTGCACCACTAATATTCTGTGTGTTGCTTGCATGGCGTCCTACTGTACAAAGATTATAATGAATCTGGAAAGCCTGTCATACCGAGTCGACCTGTGCAAATAAATCCACCCCCCTTTTGTTTCTCCTCCCACATTTCTTAAATGTCAAGTCGCCAGTGCCCGCTGCTAACAAGACATATCCATGGGCAATAATTAAACAGTGGACGGATCCTCTTTAAGGGGGTCTGGATGGGGATTTAGTAGAAAAGAGAGGAAGAACAAGTGGAGAGGAAATGAAGGATGAGTGGAAAACTGTCAAGGGAAGGTGAGTAATGATCAGGGAACGCAGAGATTTATATCAAAAGATGATGTGACCCAGCGGGACCAGCATGGGTTGCATCGACCTAAATTTATAACAACCCGAGTGTGACAATGTTGAGTGGTACTGAAACCATGTCTTGCAATTCAATTATTTGCAACTTTGGGTTTTGTCCAGTTTTACTATTAAAACATATTTTTTTAGAATTTCAGCCCAATAATGCTCCAGGCGACATCCAGGTTAAACATTTTCTAGCCAACATGAGCTGAGATCTTGAACGATGCTTACATTTTTATGGTTGCCATCCTCTTCTGAAGAGTTGGAGGATTCCTCTGCACTTGAGGGGATCGTCTCAAAGTCCTCTGTGTCCATGGAAGGGAGACGCCGCTGTGTCCAGCCTGAGGAGAATTCATGCACATTATTAGCCCATAGAATCATTTCCACACTGCCATGCGTGAGTATTTATAGAAACTCGTAATGTTACTAATAACTTTGTAGGAAGACTTAATGCTGAAATGGAACAAATTGACCCAAGGCATTATTGGGGGTTTAAAAGCAATGAAGAAAATAAACATGTAAAAAACATTATAAAACATTTCTATGGCTTTATCCCATCTCCAAACAATATAGATAACATATTATGATCTTATGATTGTTTTTCATGAGTTTATGTAAAATATCCACAAAGACTTAGATTGTATGATTTATGCTTATATTATCTCAGAAATATTTTTAACAAAATCAATGTCTCCAATGATGTTTACTATATTGAACTAATGTCATGAATTCATTTTCTCTTTGATTTGAATCAAAGACCGGAAGTAAATATAGGTGTTAATGTTAATGCATAGGTCACTTCATCTACAATCCTACATTAGCAATAGCTATGAGCAAATTATTTTACTTTATTAGATTATCTGCTCAGAGGGCATTGGAAGAGACAGGTGAAAGAGCAGGTTTTAGAATGTAAGGATAATGAGGAGATGTAGAAAGCATCTATTTGAGGGATGAACTTGACTCGAAGGATGAACATGCACTAGAAGGATGCTCATGTTCTGAAACATCCTCTGCTTCCAATTTGAAATAATATAAAAACATTTTTTATCTTTTTTCAATTCGTTTTTTTATTTCCTTTTCTTCTTTGCTTTTTACACTGTGGCCCATTGGTTTGTGGGAAGCTGTTTTGAAGCTTTGAGTTTGAGATTTTGTCCAGCGCCATCTTATCTTTTTTCTCAAACCAGAAGAAACCATATTAGGAGCAACGCATGCAAAAAAGATGGCGTAAATGACCTTGTTTCAAGTCAAAGTTGAAAGTCAGGACTTACGGACACTTGGATGACACCACAGGAGCAGAATGGAAGCATTTTATGTTGTTTTTTTATGTTTGAAGAATCGGTCACCATCTACTTCAATTGTATTGGATTTAGCTGCAACGCTGTTTACCCTTGAAACTCCAAAAGTATTTTGTGGACTAAAACACTTCACTCATCCCTCCATCGGCATGGTAGTGAGTAGATAATGATCCCCCCCAGATTAACTGCTGTTCCCCCTTGTACCCCCACCTGAAAATACTCCAGATACCCTGTTAGAGGGAACCTGACCTGCATTGTGGTTTCTCATGTCAACAAGCATTTGAGTTAATTCCGGGCACTGTTTTTATGTTTCTAATTCAAAAGAGGGGTCTGCCTCGCTCTTCAGAGCCCACTTCAGAAAGCAAAATATGGTGCAACCAGAGGCGGACTTAACCACTGGTGCAAAGGTAGGCAATTGCCTTGGGCCCCGAATTACCAGGAGCCCCATAAAGAACCTTTAAAACTTATGGATACGATTTTGGATTTTTTACTTTTTCGTTGATCATTTCTTTCTAAAAATCCATACGTTAAAACAGCATCAGAATGGTTATAATTCACAAGTAACTAGTGTCTCTGCAACCCTCCTTCACAATGGACTATTCCATGAGCGCGTCCATGGAATTGATTCAGGGTGTAAACACAGACTGACAAGAAGTGTTGAGCCAGTTCACACTAGTTCAGTTCATACAGATGAAAATGAACTAGTTCAGTTCATACAGATTAAAATGAACTAGTTCACGTTCATTTGTTCTGTTTTTTATTGGGATGATTTAGATGATGATCATGTGTTTAGTTATTAATCGATGGTGTCGGATCATGAATCTTTGTCGCTCCAGTCACTTAAACACTGAGTCCTGTGTGTGTCACCTCTCATGTTGTGCTGACACATTATGTGGATGACTTATTTTTCAATGCAGCCTCATGAACTCCGGAATCAAACAGACACTGAGTTACTTCATATCCTGATCAGGTCCTGATAACTAGTGCTGAGTGTTTATTAGTTACAGTGAGAGCAGCTCAGAGTGGAGGAGGAAACACAAACTCCAGCTCGATACAAACCAACTGCAGCTTCTGCTCTGATCATGAAGCAGCTGTGACCAGAGAGACTCTGTGTTTTCACTGTTTCCACTGTTCTTCAACAAAGTCTCTGACCTGCTGCTTCATGAACGACCTCTGATCTCACTGCATGTGTCTCTCTGAGTGAGTGAGCGGTGGCAGGGCCCCGGAGCCTCTGTTTGTGCACGCACACAAACACACACACACATTCACACAAACCCATTTTCACTAGCTCCTGGTATTTCACATGATGGCCTTTACGATGATGATTAAAAAAACGTGAGCGCATTTAGGAGAAAGTCATGAAAATAAAAACATTCAAGGGAGAGGAAGAAAAAGACAGGGACAAAGAGAAATAGTAATTCTAACCCTAACCCATTTTTAAAAGTACATTTTGTTATTATTTCTAACACTATAATTGAAATCCTATTTCCTTGGGTGTTATCTGCTCACTTAATTAAAACAAGATATAAGACAGAGGCCTATCATCAACTTAATCTGCTGAAAACCAAGGTTATAGATGACAGATCTTCCATGTGATTGGACAATACGGTTCATTCTTAAGATTAAGATTCCTTTTTATTGTCCCACAATCATGCACACAGCACTACATGCAACATGGGGAAATTTGACCTCTGCATTTAACCCATCCATGTGAACACAGCACACATGGAACACAATACACACAGTGACCACACGGAACAGTGGGCAGCCATGAAGGCGCCCGGGGAGCAATTGGGGGSTTCGGTGCCTTGCTCAAGGGCACCTCGGCAGTGCCCAGGAGGTGAACTGGCACCTCTCCCCCCTTAATGTACAGAGATCATGTTGTTTATGAAAATAAGATTTTACTGTGAGTGCATTTGTTAAACTGTTAATATGTTATGTTGGGTTGGGAAGAAATTACAAATAGGACTTTCTTAGATAAATAAGGATTGAAAAAGGTGGAGAACAACATATGCGGAGGGCCCCATGCCTTTGTTGGCCTTGGGCCCCTATATGCTAAATCCACCACTGGGTGCAACCATATCATTGTGGTCAGCTTGCATTTGTTTCAAGTTTTCATTGTTTCCCTCTCCACCATGTCAATCTGGGGTCAACGTTGGCTTCAGTCCCATGGTGCATAAAACTCTGACATGTTTGGCAATTGTTTTCTTTCTCATTGACTTTCCTTTCCTCTTGTCCACGTTCAGTGTATGAACACTATGATATCAAACACCAGAAGGAGGACTATTTGAGGACTATTCATTTTTGATACTAATATCAGCTAGACTACAGTCATTTTATTCGTCACCACTTGTATGAGTAACTAATCTTTTTGTCCCAGCCATTTCAGAAAATCATCATAGAATAATGACGAATTGAGCTCTTTTTACAGCATCATTGTTCTGTTCCATGGAAATCAAAAGCACTTTTCTTCAAGAACAGAGCATTGCGTCAATGAGGTGTAAGGCCACCAACACTGTTAGCCACGCCTGTACTTCAAGTGAAGTAATGTATGAAATGAGGTGGAAAATTAATATTTTTTTCAATTCTATTTCCTAACAGCTGCTGTCTCAGCCATGTAATACACAGTGATTCAACAGTACTGTCCCCATTACACCTCCTCTATCTAATCCAAGTAAATGGGTGTAAAAACAATAGAACAGTGGGTTTCAGATGTGACCGGCTGACTTGGCATTCAAGAGTCCACTAAAGAGAGTACCTGTCTGTATTTCTCCCATTATGGATAAAGGAAGCTTAGTCATACTTAACTAGAGGAGTAACAGATGAGAAAATGACAACTGTTATGGTCTGAACCATGCAAAAACACTTTGCTTTGCACAGGGTGTAAGATAGGGCCATTCGACTGTGTTGCTCAGGTAGTTTGGAGCCTTTAGGACAAGGCAGAAGTGAGCTGGAAATATTTCTTTAGAAATGAATGTTCGAGTGAAAGTAAATACATTTACACAGAAGCTTGTGTTAAATTAAACCCACCAAACCCACCAAATTAAAGTCTGGTCAGAGCAAATAATCACCCGAAACGAACTTATCAACACACAAAACTGAAGTTAATTCAACCAAGAAGACACGATACAAGTCACGTGAGTCGTCCTCTGCAGTTACCTGGTTGGGAGGTGGATCTAGGGACAGCTGAGGTGGTGCCAGCAGCCGGGGCAGTGTTGCTAGTCATGCTCTGACGTTTCCTGGCTGCAGCCATTGCACCACGCAAAGTATCTGGAGGAAAGCCAAATGCTTTATGCCGTGCTTTTCATCATGATCACTCAAAAACCGCACAATATCCAAACCCGAACCAAAATTTAAAATAAGATGGTGTTGACATGAAATTAAAACTCAGTCCATCTCATCAAGAGAGCAGTGAAGCTCTACACATGCAGAAATCGAGTCAACAGGCCTTAACACCAACAAACTCACAAACACACACAACTAAATATTTGATCTGATACACCTTTTATGTAATTATCATGCCCTTTGAATGGTCGTGCCACAAATCACAATGCAAGTCAACACAGCAGGCAACAAATAGAAACACAGAAAAGGAACAAACACAAAAAAGTGCACGCACATACACCACATCACTCAGAAATAAAGTAAAAAGTTGCTTTATTAAACCAAACAACAGACTAAAATGCCCAGCATGCTCAGACCCTGCACATCACATAGAGTGACTTCAGACACTATGAAGACCCCTTCACTTTTTCTACTTTATTGTGCTGTAGATTTCATTTAAGAGATTCAAACAACCAATAAAGTAAAAAGGCTGAAGTGGTTTTGTTATTTTCTGAAGTAACTGTGCACGACATATCTTGGCACGTTCATGTACCTTCATAACCAAATGGAGTGGGATCGCTCCTTATCTCGTGTCTCTTGCTCTTTAAGCTAGAGGAGAGGGGACCTGGTCAGGGGAAATAACAGGCAACCAGACACTTCATTAGACACCAACATTTTAAAAAGTAAAAGTAACCACTGCCTCCTAAAAAGAATGTTATACAACTAACCTGCAACAGCAAACATATTCTTCAAGAAATACAACCAGATTAACATAATGAGGATATCTTATCATTTATACATTTGTTTTATTTCCCCCCCCACATAATCTTATCTTGCAGTACGATATAAAGTTGTGCAGATACATTTGGAATAAATAAATGTAGCACTTTATGTATTACAAAATTATGCTGCATGCCTCTTAACACAATCTTGATGAGCGCTAGAGCCAAAAACCTTTGTGAAGACATGTCATTTATCACACTGGGCTCAGAATCACCTAGGTGTCAATTATGTAAATGTTTGTTGTAGTCTAATTTACACCATTATTAAAGGAGCAATGTTGCACGCAAAGGTTTATTGAAATGTGAGACCATCATGTTAAAATAGGTTTCACTATGCATGGCTTAAACCACCACATCCATGGGACATTCTGGTCTTGTTATAAATAACATTTAAGGGATTCTTGATGATGTTAAATGATGAACCCATGAAATTATTTTACATTTTGGCCATTTGTAATAGTAGTTACGGTAACACTGTACTCACTAAGATCTAAAAATATGTCAACAGCAGGCAGGTCAGCCAAATTACTTAAACTTCTGTATTTGATGGTAAAACTAAAACTGAGCACACCTTGGAGTGTTAAAAATTAATAATGCATGTATTAGCACACACTTACATTAAGTTTGGCAGGTTGGACACAGAACATGGAAATAATTTTTGTGTCTTAACAGAAACACAAAATGGAATTCAGCAAAAATATATTTTATATTTTTCGATTGGTTTTATTCGCATATGTCACTGAAGTCCACTGCGTTAAAATATAACAATATTAAATTAGTGTTGGGTCTAAAGGCTAAATCTACAAAAATAAGACCCATAGGAAAAAATAACAATTATCCTATACTTCACTAACGGGCCTAAGACAAGGAAAGTCAGTGCAACTACAATCACCTATAGGCCTAGCCATCAATCACTAATTTACATTGTGGCATGCTGTATACAGTATAGCAAGTGTGTGTTTCTATTACTATCTCATTAAAGAAGATTTAGAGTGTAGAGGCCTAAATGTGAACTCCACTGAGCTCCCTCGGACCAGTATGACCCGCAGCATTGTTTACAGGGGCCAACCTTTATTGAAACAGTCTGGACTGCATGTGAGGGAGAGAAATAGGAACTAAAGGACAAAAGAACAAACTGAGTGGAAAATTGTTCAAGGGAAAACTTCCATAGCTCTATGTTTTTAATTCCTGTCATGCCTCTGCCTGGTTGAAGATGAACTTCTCATCTGTATTCCTACGGTAAATTGCACTTCTTCCGCCACTTTGAATGTCACCCTGCGTTCCAAATGTCAGCTTATCAAAATTCTTATTTCCTGATGCTTTTAAAAAAAAATATGTATGTCGTCTCATTTGTGGCCTTTTTTCCCTTTAACATTGTTTTGATTCCCAGGAAAAGCTTGACTTTCTCTATGCATCTCATAAATTTCAAGCGGATCAGTAAATGGAGAGAAGGTAATAAGAAAATGGCTTTTTTCCCCCTCCTACTCTACATATGTGCACACATACACACAGTTCTATCACTACAGATTCAATTGAGTCTGTGCTATGATCATGACTGACCTGACAATAAATAGAATTGCACAATGTTGAAAAAAATGATGGTAACCTGGAAGGTTTGTGAGTGAAGGGCAAACCCACTTAGACATGGTTTTCTCAACTTTTAATAATGTTCTGTGGCAACACATTGCTAACTCATCATGCTAATGCAATGTATTGCATTAACTTTACAAATGTATTTCTTTAAATATGTACTGAAATCATAATTACACATTTTGCAGTCAAAAATCCTATCCATTTTTAAATCTCATTTTCTTTTATTGCGATAACAGGGTCTGTGTTGTTGTATCAGAAATGTCTGACTGCGTGGGTCCATGTATCCTTTTGACATACAACATAATGTAAACAAACGCAGCATTTTATTACCAGTGGGGCTGAAGAAGAAGGAACACCTGATTTTGCATCTAAACTGGCCCACACTGACGTTTGCAGTAAAGATGATAACCAGGTTACAGGCAATCAGCTGATCAGCTATTCAGTTTGAAAACTAACATTTGCAGTACACTTATCTCCAGTAGATGCTTGTTTTGTCGCACCTAACAATGTCCATCCCTGTAGCTGAAGGGAGACATGAGCAAGAGAGCTGAAAAGCTGTCTGTGGCTGTCTGTGGATCTTTTTGTGTTGCTGACTCTCTGAATCAGTGTCCGTAGTCTATTGTACAAATGTTTTCACTTGCAAATTACCTGTAAGTATTTCACCTTTGAAATATTTTTCCTTTACTTGTGTCTCTGTGTTTTTTTGAATGCTCCTTGAATCTACCTCTGTGTATGAAACGTGCTTTACAAATAAAATGGCCTTGCCTTCGATCCAAGCACCATATCACCATGACAACCATGAAAGCAAATTTAACTAATTGCTGTGAATTCTGTGTGACCTTGCAATGTTGCCCAATCAAGCGTAAAACATTGAGCCCACACACATGCACACCACCAAGTTCACTGTTTCTGTTTGTGATGACAAATGTGCATCATTGATGTGCAAATACTTTTCTACTTTACTCTTTACTCCTTTCTCTTGTTGAGGGTTAGGGGAAGAGGATGTCACACCTTGTTAAAGCCCTATGAGACAAATTGTGATTTGTGAATATTGGCTATACAAATAGAATTTGATTGATTGATTGATTACTTTTACTATCAAAGGGATAGTTCACCGAAAAATGAAAATGAAGGGTTCAAACAATCAAAGGGAGACAGATTAGATAAGCACACGATCCAGACTTGTAATGTTCACTTGCTCCTGCAGTTTTTTTTATAAAAGCTGCCATCAAATCAGGTATTTTGTGCATTAACAAGCTCAAAAAACAGCCATTGAAATCCTGAAGGGACTGCTACTGTACTCAGATGCAGTTTTAACACTCGCCTCTTGGTGGATCCAACAGCAGTCACCTATGGGTCAACCCATGTCTTTATTGTGAACTGTGGGTTAATTGGAATTGCAGAATGGATTCTGGGTGTGCTGCAGTGGGTATTTGAATGTTTGACAGTTTGCATTTAAATACAATAAGAAAAAATATAATACAATGAGAAAAAATACAAAAACATTCTGCACAACCGCAGAAACATGCAATCATGGTATGGTAACATCATAGAATAACTTTGATTGTGTTGGACCTTTCTTTGTTTTATTAGAATCTAACTGTAGATCTTAATATATCTTAATGACTAAGTCTATCATGTGATGCAGTATAATAATTACTCATCATAGAAGAGGGTGAAAGAGCAATATGTGGAGGCAGGAAGGCTTTGGACAGCTAATTCAGGTACCTTTTGTGCGTCGCGTGGCGAAGGAGGAGGAAGTGGAGGAGGCAAGAGAGGAGGTGAGAGAGAAGCGGCGGGGGACCTCCGCCTCTTTAACAGCAGGGTCTACAGCCGGAGAGGGGTCAGGACACAGGAGGAGTCAGGGAGAGAGCCAAGCAGGGAGAGACGGAATAAGCGTAATCAAGTAAGAGAGATATAAATGAAGCAGAGGAGGGATAGAATGTTACATAGAAAAATAAGGACAAAACAAGGTGACAGATAAGAAGGGAAATTAGTTACACAGCCAGTTTATTGACATAAAACAAAATGATACTACTACTAAATATAAGAGGTGAAAGTATCACATTCATTACTTCTAATAATAATCTATCACATAATTATCTATCTGATGAAAAATGGAAAGAAGAAGCCACCAATGCATGAAATACTGAAATATAATACAATATGATGTAAATCAAAACAAAACCACAAGAACAAAACTGACAAAAGCAAATCTTAACATATCCATGTCCACTCACTACGATTATCAGAGCTTACAACTACACGTTATGGTCTTCGTCATGAGTATGAATATGGGTTCACATGGCAGCAGGAGGTCTTATGGTGGGGAGACCAGAGGTTTGAGACAGATGTGACATAAAGCTGCAGCATGAAGGGATGGACACTTCAAAACCTCAGTGTGTCCAGATGCTACATGTGATGAGTAAGGATGTGGGGCCAGAAATGTTCTAATTTAACAGCAAACCTTTGCCACAACGTCAGCACAAGATCAACATGGGTGTCAGACCAAAGGTTTTGAACTACACACTTCAACAAGTCATTCTGTGATGTTGTCTTTTACGCTTGTGGATAGCAGTACAGTTTTAATTTCAGCTAAACGAGCGTCAGTCGATTAAAAATAGATCAAGCAGATGACTCCTCAGTGACGATTCAAGAAAGATGAGCCTCATGCGCAAACTGTGAATGTCTTGTTCACAGGTTTTACTTTAAATGTGCACTTCAATGAAAGAGAAGGAGTCAGTCACAGCCACCGCAACTTGAATGAATCCCTCCTTTCAGCACGGGCATCTCATTTTGCTGCAACACGTCAGAGGAACTGCTCCCGCTCGATTTTTCCTCATGCCTTGACGCCACTGAGGTTAACTGCAGGTTGAAATCCAGCTCTCTCCCATTGCTGAGCTCCAACGCGGTGATAAACTGTGATAAACCGGCCAAGACGCAGTGTGAATGTCAGAGCGCTTGCAAGTCACAGGACGCAGCAGACAGAGTGGCCCGTGGTTTCACTCCATTCTCCAGTGATATAACACGCAGGACTTATTGAGCGGTGAACGAAGCGGTGAAGCACGGGAGGCTGCAGGGAGCACTCCTGTTAATGGTGGGTCTATTCAACAGGAGGACACCTGCCATCGATTTACCATTGATTTCCATCTCATACTGCAGAGCCGCACATTCATCACTCAGAGTAGAGCTCAGGGCTGTGTGTACTTCTATAGTACAGCTGTGTGTGTGTGTGTGTGTGGCTGTTGTATATTATTTTTGTGTTGTTTTGTTCTGTTGTATGCAGATCAAATGTAAGTCATTTTTGCAAGGGATGAGGTCACACTGAAAGTTTGGGCCAGAACATTACACAGTTCTGTATCTTCTGCTTATTGACTGTCATAGCATGAAAACACCGATAGATTTTAGTGACATTTTAATTGTGCAAAAACAAAAGAGAAATCAATTCAACATTTCAAACAAAAAAGAGCATTAAATCTGCTGCTTTAACAGCCTCCATTCTCCTAGGTTTCTACCCGACCTTGGAACCAGGCTGCAGGGATTTGCTCCCATTGATTGTTGGGCCTTGGTCATATGCTAACAAGACTGGGTAAAGCCAAATAATAATGACAAGTAAGTGTATGAAATCTCAATTCACCGTTCACCACTGGGCAAACTACTGAGTGTCTATGAACGAGGTTCCAGAGGCCATAGTCGAACCTGACATTGTTTGTTTCACAGAACCATCTGGAAGCGCTTTGTTGTAGATAGAAAAGGACAGGCACTTTTAAAAAGTACTTGGCAGGTGATCTGATGAACCATCTGTTTAATCACAGTTGCTATATCCCAGCATTCTAGTTCCTCCCCTACAGGACACTGATTGGTCCAAAACTCTATAGTCTCAGGCAAATTGAAATCTGGAAAGACAGATTCTCACTTGCTACATTGCCACAAATCATTTCTTTTTTAACTTTAGTATTTGTAGTCAGGAGGATAACAAAAATTTCAATCTTCAAGTTTTGCTGTCTTTGTTCAGGATGTTGGATCATCGTGTTTTCTGGTTTGTCTTTACTTGAATAGTCAACTGACTCCCAGCCTCACTTATCAGTCTCATCAGAGGCAGGTGTGGCTTGAAGACAGGACATGGAGAGCAGAACCTGAAAGGTTCATCCTCCTTCAAAAATGTTAATATGCCTCCAAATGTTGATGGGGCTCGAATATTAAAGGGTGGCATTTAGTGCAGCACTGCCCCAAAGAATTTAGCCTCGCCTGTCTGTCTGTTTATCACCTGCTGTCTCCCTGTCTTCAAACCATGTCACTTCAGCTGGAACCCATCCCTCTCTTTACTACTTTCCTTGCTGTTGTGCAGGCAGATGCAGATGATACTGACGTGAACAGATAAAAGCTGAGGAGGGGGAGCACGGGGAGATGTGGCCTTTATTATGCTGAGACACCGCGGGCGCTAGGACGCGTGAAGAGATCTGCCCTTCGACAACGAGATACACACTGACACAGAAAGCTATATAACATCTTAGGGGGGAAAAGGAAAGGAAAGGACAACATCAGTTGTGAGACAGGAGAGTGGAGACTGAATCTGAAAGGACTGAGACAGGAGAGAAGCTGCAGCTCTGATCAAGATGATGATGATGAAGATTGTCATTATGATTATGACAAACAGACAAAGAGGATGTTGGTGTTCACAAAGACGCTAGCGAGAAGCCGACATGCTGATGTCATACTGTTACCTGATGGGAGAGACCTCCTGTTGGAAAGTCCCTGCAATGTGAAGCGTTTCCTAGCGTTAGCAACCGAGTTGCCTGATTGGCTGGCGGAAGCATCAACTGAGTGGGAAAGCAAGAGGGAGCTGTTGTTAGTAGAGCAGGGTAAATAAGATTAATATTAGACGACAGAGAGCGTGGACTGTTAATGGCAACTTGATAACCGAGCCTCAGCAACAACTTCAAAAATGTTTTCTGGAATATAAATATTTAAATACCGGTGTTTGGTTTGTTGTTGGTTTGTCGATGTTTCAGCACAATATTCAATTTAAATGCTCAGTGGATGAGTAATAAATAAAAAGGGCAAGGCGTTAAGACAAATCATTTCATCACAATAATGTTTCTTTCTCATCGGTCAATATAATAAATATTAAAATCTTAATAAATACCACACTGAAATGTTTACTGCTACTAAGCATAGTTTCTGACTGTGTGCACTGACACATTTCAAATGTAATCTGTGTTCAAACTGTTTATATTGTCCATCCCTATAAAATCCCAGTCTTTAGAATTGTTTCCGAATTTAGATCAATGTCTGAAAAGAAAAAGGAATTTAACACAACATCAAATATTTTGATACTAAGTTAGTATTATAAAAGTATTGAGGTTCGATGCCCAGCCCTCAAGTAAAATGAAGCTGTAAAAATATATTTCTGGTCGTTTTCAAAAGATCTTGATTAAAGGTGCTAACTTTCAGCAATGGCTGATTGTTTAGAAATGTAAGAGAGAAAGAACCTTGGCTTCAGTGAAAAAAGAACAGATATAAACATAAGAATATACGAGTATAGAGAAGTAGAAGTAGCAGCCTGTCAGTAGAAGAAGCCAGTAGCTAAGAACAAACAATACAAAGAACTCATCCATTTAAACCTGCTCATGCTTGAATGTATCTAATATAGGTGGAATACAGTACCGACTGCATTTATATAAAACATATACGCGTCACAATGACCGATTCACACAAACATTCACACAGCACTACTCCATCACTCACAGATCACATACCCTGTACCACACCCCACTGACAAAATAACCATCAGAAGCAAGCTGGGGTTCAGTATCTTGCTCAAAGGCATTTCATCAGAACAGAACAGAACCCCTAACCTTCAGAATAGAGGGTGATGAGCTACAGCCACAGCCTCACCCAAAGGAATACACTATTTTGAACTATACACCCATCTGCTGTGGCCTCAGACGTTTTCAGAAACCCTCACTCTCTGCACACTTTGTGTTGAAGGTTAAGGTTCAAATGGATACAAGTCAGATCTTTTTGAATAATAACAGCATCATGGATTGTTGGATTAAAGTTGTTTTACTGGATCTGTTTTTATAGATATTATACAGACCCTTTGCTGGGGCTGCAAACTGTGGTCAGGTGCTTCTTGTTTACTTAAATATTGTTTAATGTTTAATGTGCAAATAGTTTCCTTATGCTGCATTTATGCTGATTTCATTTTCAACGCCTTCCAATGAGGAGATTTTCAAAAACTCCATGTGTATCTGTGTGTACATGTGAAATGGAGTGTTTGAGAGTCAATGACGTCACAGCTTACTTTGTTGTGTGTAATGAGCATGTGCCAGATAAAACAACAACAATGGCAGCGACCGGATTCTCTACGTTCGGTTAGCACTGCTGGGTCCAATTACAAGTTTAGCCAAATTTAGCAACACTGCACCACCTTACCGGAATGCACAGATATCTGCCTCACCCTATATTACTTGGACCACAACATTCCTATTTTTGACTTTTGCCACCGACTGGCCTCGCAAGCTTGTTGGAGCATTTTTAGTTGTTTTGGTGCTCTCCTCTGGATGGAGATATTTTGTAAAATGAAGGTCATGTGGACAGAGTTTTAAAATGAGGGGAAAACATCTGGTCAAAAAAATATCCACAGTACTGTAAACAAGACGTAGTGTTATAAATATACTACTGCTGTATAAAACCATTGCTAAGGTCAAGCTTGCTATGGTGGTGAACTGTTCTTCTGGTGAATTGGTGAATGGCAGGCAATACAGAGAAAACCTGCTCCAGACTGCAAGTGACCTGAGACAACCTGAGACCATATGAGACAACCTGAGACAACATGAGACAACCTGAGACTGGGGCGACAGTTCACCTTTCAGTACGACAATCACTAACAGCAAACAGCTAAGACAAGACTGGAGTGTCTTCAGGACAAGTGTCTGACTGTCCTTGAGCAGCTCAGCCTAATCCAAAAACACTTTCCACTTTTGTCATGATGGGTTGTACACTGATGGGAAGAAAAACGTCACTTTAACCCATTTAAAATTACGTCTATTACACAACAACATAAAGTGTGTCTGACTGCTTCCTGTATGTGTGTGTCTGTCGGAGCTAAAGAGCACAGTGACCTCGCTGAGAGAGAATATTCAGCCTATTCAAGCAAGTTTGCATGATAAACTTTTATCAGATGATTTTTTTCTTGTCCTTGGCCAAAGGCACCAACACACACTTTGTTTCCTTGACACATCCATAGACAGATATGTTACTCGGTAACTTAATTTTCCTTACAAACACAATTCACGTGTGTACAAGTCTAAACACAATGAGCAGTGAGACCATAGCCTGCTACTACTGAGGGTATAGGGTCAGAGGGAAGACAGGAAGGATATGTTGTATTCAGTCTATACAGAGCATAATGAACCAACAGTGCAATGCTGTAATACATCACATATGTATTATTTTGTATAATTATTATTTATTATTTCTTTATAAGATGTGTGTTTCGGTTTGTGGACAGCGTTCGTCCTCTGCCCATGCAAAGTAGGATCAGCTGTCTAACCGCTCTTTTTACTGACATCATCATTATCACTTGACGGTGAAAAAGCAGGAGGAAGGAAAAAGGAGATTAATCTGGCTACATCATAGCACAACCCTGACTCCTTTTAAACACTAATCATCGCCTTGGTGATACATCTTTTGGTATATCAAAGTTTTCTGGGACTTTTTCTTATATGCTTAATAGAAGAGAGACCACACGTGCAGGTGGATGAAAAAAAGGTGTCAGGAAGGTTGACTGAAGGAGAGATGAACAGATTACAAGTGAAAGAGACAGAAGAGGACGACAGACGGAGAAAAGAGTGGGAGGTGTGAATGGATGCGAGGAGACAGGTATGGCTTTTGACCGCTGGTTTTATAACAGTGGCCATGCACCCATTTAAAGAGGAGAGACCAAAAACAACAGCCGTACTTAACCCTGAGCTTTTTACTAGCCGTGGAGATTGGAAGAGAAGTGTTTGTGTGTGTGCACTGTATAAAGCCATTTCTGAGCAGGGATGGAGTGGAGACGAAAAGGAGAATAGAGGCACTTTGTTTGTTCTGCGGCACTTACAGCGATTTTGAACAACACATAAAGTCAAAGACTAAAGGTCAGTCCACACCTTCAGTGTTTTTCAACTTCACTCAGTCAAACCGAAACAGATCCACATATATTTTGACAAATAGATCCATGAAAGTTTCTCTCGCTCTAAAACAGAGCTCCAGAGTGTGCCAGCTGTAAAATGCCAGCCTGATGTTTGAGTGTGTTTGGGGAATACATCGACCAGGAAGTGAGAATTGACGGCTGTGCGAATATAACGTCATAAATAAATAAATAAATAAGCGTTCTCCGTTGCTTCTAACTTTCTCTGCCCGTTTTAAATGTATAGCAGCATACAGTAGAAGAGTACAGCAAACATCCGGCTGTTCTCATTTACTTCGTCAGATGATGTTGCCATTGTAAAATCAGGATTTTATCACCGCAGCACGGCAGCTTGGAAGAGCCTGCTGATGTTAGCTGATGTTTGTCATGTGGAAAGAAAAACGTCCAGGTTTTTATATGCTGTGTGTCGATGTCGACACAGGCAGGATTCCACTAATGCTGCTGCACTGACGAAAGTACGGTTGCAATAAATGAACCTCTTATTTGCAGTGTGTTGCATAGACAGTGATGACTTCAAATATGCTGAAAGACTGGACTGTTAGGAATAAAATGAAACATGATCTGAGCTGTAGAGAAATTCAAGCGTCAACCAGTGTGAGGTTAAACTTTAGCCACAGGGACCTCTAGTGGTGTCTGATAGTTCTTACAGGACACATTAACTCGGCCCAGACTTACAGGTCAGACTAAATCAGAGGACCAGTTCACACACATCAACATGGCTCGGCAGACTAGTGATTCTGATTGTGGAAGCCAGTTCATATCTGACCTTTGACCTTACCGTTCATCATCTTTAGTCCTCACTTCCTGCATAACTTCTCTCAACTGTGACTTTTAAGTAAAAGCAAATATTGTCCAGCCCCACCCCCTAAAACTGTTGATCCTGACTGAGGAGTAGCCGCCTGATGTCTCTGTGGCTGAGGTTTTATCAACTACATCTTCAGTGAGTTTAACAAAGGGCTCTCAGATTTCACCGAGGGTATCTAAAGTCACATCAAATTCTATTTCCATCTTCTCAATATGACAAATTATTGGCTCAATTGGTTTTACAATCTGTACAGCATATGACACACTCTGTCTGGAGAGACACCCCAGCAAGAATGAGGAAAGACAAAAAAAAAGATGGAGGAGACAGGTGGATCCCTGGAGATAATAAGTGTGGAGGACAACTGCTGTCGCCTCGACTCAGTCTTAGTTTCACAACACATTCACTAGTAAACCTCTATTGTCCACTGCTCTGGAAACAGCAGCTCTCAGTTACCTCAGACCTCAGCATTCTCCTCACAGCCTGCTGCTGGTTCATGAGGGGAAATGCTTCTCACAGTTCACCAACGTTTAAGAAAATGGATTTATTTGACCATGTGAGTGAATCCACTACTTGGGTCAAACCCTGCAGCTGAGTTAATAACAGAGACTATTTTTACTTGATATTTTTACTTTCCTCTCATTGCTAACGATGTTGAGTCTAGAATCGTGTGATGTCTCTGGTGCTGGTATGATGTAATGAGAATTTATTTGCAAAGGTCTAAGTGGGAGAGATGTTTCTAAATACAATAATAAGCCATATCCTCTGTTCTACTATGAATATAGCAGGTAGGAAGCATATTGGATGTTTGCTTCTTCAGTTAATTGCGCTCTTTTACTCAATTTCTATGCAGCTCCCTTCTCTCTCCCTCTAAATCAGTGATGATGTAACGTCTGACTGGTACCTCTTGCTGTCTGACCTCCAAGTGACTCTATTTCCCCAGTGTGTGTGTGTGTGTGTGTGTGTGTGTGTGATTTTGTATTTGTTTGCATGTGGGCCTGCATGCGTTTGTGTGTGTGCTGACTCACCTGGCTTTCCACTAACCTTCTGGTAAGTGGATGACCCGCTCTACCTCCTGGGCCACAGCCGCCCACACTTCACACAGCATTTCCCATGTATACTTAATATAACTTACTCTGAAATCTTTATCAGAGATGAGATGTTTGCTTTTGCAGGACAAAAGAATGACTGTGTGAGCTCTCACCTCTCTTCTGTCTCATGTTGGGGCTGGGGTTGCTCCTCCTGAAGCCTGACTCTGGACTCGATGAATCAGACTGTCTCAGCGCCAGCTTCCGCACATTCCTACTGGTGTGGGCAAATGAGGCAGAATGTCGAGAACTTAATTTCCCACCATCTGACAGCAGGGTGCTAGTTTTCAGACCATGTGCAAAAATCTGCAGTTTGGTAAGTGATTTCACTTTTTGCTCTAATTTCTCTGCTGTATTAAATGTGCATGCTGAGGAGAGACGTCATGTCATTTTGTAGTTTGTAAGTGAAATGAGATTGGCGGCTCACCTCATAGGGGCTCCATAGATGTTGAGCTGGCTGGCCTCTGTAAACACAACGGAGACATTATGTTTTACTGTTCATCAAATGACAACAATGTTTCTTCAGCAACTTCCACAATGATCCACACGACTGTTACAGACGTTATTCATATGATCTGCCGCTTCAGTGATTATGCTTGGTTGAAGTTCAAGCTGTGAATATATCTTGCTTAGAGCTAAAGGAAGATCAGAGTCATTGTTAAAAGAACCAAAGTTAAGATGAGATGTGACAAGGAACATAGATAGATAGATAGATAGATAGATAGATAGATAGATAGATAGATAGATAAAAGTAGTCTGGTAAATAACTTAGAGCATCTGCAGACTGTACAACATCATGTACGTTATTAGAAGTATAAACAATGTAACATATCCATAATCTACAGTCACAGTGACTCACACAAAAACAAACCAGTTCCCATAACAGGAGACACATACTGACCACATAAGTGGCAATCAGAATTCTGAGACCACTTTCAATTGAATGTCCTTCCTGAAAAACAAACACGAAGACAGCATTTCCTTCCTTACACAAAATGTGCAAAGCTGCTTTTTCTCAAATGTTTGAAACCTCCATTGTGCACATCCAATGTTATTACTTAGTAGTCTTCTTCTTTCCTGCCTTTGTTTGCATTGCTGTGCATCTTGGAACAGTGAAACTAGTGGCTGAATGTGCATGCACGTGTGTGTGAGAGATGAATAAAATGGGGACCTACCCATAAAAAAACAGCTCCATAACACAACTAAACTAAACAAGAGGTTGTGTTTGAGCTTTTTAAGTGTCTGTCTATTTCATTAGTGTCTAGTCCTGTTGAATCTGTATTGTGTTCAACTTGAAGGATACAAGATAGTTGTGTGTTAGTGCAGTGTGTTAGAGGATGACAAGTTATTTCCACTGCTTAAAATCTCCCAAACTGCAGTGTCAACCCTGGAAGCTGCTTTTATTGGCCTGATAGAAATCACTTTGCGGCTCTATAAAGAAAGTACAAAACACCAGAGCAGCAAAGCCACCGGGGATACAGCTCCAGAAACCAACCCATATCTAAACAAAAGGCTTCATAAATGCAACGTTAACAAATGTGGCCTGCCACAGGATTGTGCTGTGTGACAGGAAATCTCTGGAGAAGAATCTAGTAACATAAATGCAGACAGTGAGGCATTGCCTTGCCCAAATGCATAGCTCACATAAGTGAAATACCAAGCTGTGTGAATGATCTGGCTTGACAACTCCTGTTCCAAGCGACCAATGAAACCTCTGCAGAAATGCAGAGTCAGCGTGGAGCCATTCAATATGCTCCAAATATTGTATTCAGCAGAAGGGATATATTGTTTCATCATGGGGCTAGCAATGTTTTATTTATAAAGGCTGGCCACACCGAGGTGTGTGCAGTGATGTGTTACCCACGTTCACTACAGCAAAGAGCGCACAGCTTCATCTGTGCTGCGGGGGCCCACCTGTATCAACGAATCAGAACCTGGAATATTACCAAACAGGGAGTTATAATTATATTTTTGCATAATGACAAAGAGAAGCCTAGCAATACAACGAAAACTGTTGTGAAAGTAAAAAACAAGACTTGACGCAATACGTGACGAAAAAGAAACATATAAAAAGCTCCTTTATAAACTGAAAATTGCCAGAGCATTGTCAAATGAGGAGCAAGTATAAATGCTGAATGTTATCATTGTTAGTAAAACATAAAAAGTGAACATAACTAAAAACTATAAGTTGGATGAACAAAGCCTAAACTTGAAGAGTTAAAGTAAATGGGTTTTTTTGTCTTGAAATTGTAATTGATGTTCCTAGTGTGTGTCACTATCTTGTTTCAGCTCAGCCTCCTGTCGGTTCTGCCTGTTGTCATGACGAGCCACTGGTGGCTCATCATAATAGAGAAAGGAAAATGGGATCTTGATCGAGTTGAAGATTGTAACTTCAGGATTTATTTATCTAGTATTTCTTCATCACACAAGGTTACCAAGTACAGGCCGTGCATAGTATGACACGTTGTTTCAATGTCAAAGTAAACCTTGTGTTTATTGTTAATTCATCCATCATCAATTGTTGACAACAGAATACACAATGTTGGTATGTTTACAACTCTCCAAAACACAGAGGAATCTAACCACAATGTATGTGTGTTCCTGTACTCTAAGCCTAATTTTTTCAGTGGGCTATCAGAGGATTAGGACTTGGTTTAAGGTTTATGGTTAGAATTAGGTTAGGGTTAGAAACGTGTGTATGTGTCTTCAGATTCTGAGACGTCTGCCTCTGGGATGTGTGATTCTGCTCCAGCACAATGAAAATATTCATATGAGACAGGCTGTTATCTGGAAGTCATTGTTAGCACAGACATGAGTTTGCTATGGAGTAGCATACAAATCACAGCTAAACCACAGAACGATTTATGTTGGTGAACTTATCATGGGCTGTCTCTTTCACAGAATGCGCTGGTGTTGTTCTGTATCTTTGGTTTGTGCCTGTTTTCATTAAACTTTGTGTTATTAAATTGGTCCAGGCTCCACTCCTTCTCACAAACTTAGCAATAAAGCTTATCCGTCAACCAAGAATCTCAAGCAGTCAGTCATTTTCTCACCAACCTAAACATCCATTACCTGCTGTACCCAGCATCACTGTCTAGTCTGTGTCCGTTGTTACAGTTCAGCTGCTGATCATCAGATTCCACCTTTCTTTGTAGTGATGTCACCAAATATCTCAGCTTATCTTTGGTGAGTACACCAGTATTTCCACTGATAGATATGGTGGCCAGTTCTCAACCTTAGATCGAGCATAATCCTTCACTTTTTCAACATCTCACGGTCTTCACTACAGTTTGCTGGGTTGTCATGGAGATGAGTGTGTTAATTCTTTGACACAGAATTAACACCTTAAAATGATTTTGTCTAAATACCCAAAGCGACAGGAACCACACATTATCAGACGCTCCAACTCTTTTCTCTGTCTCATCATCACATTGTTACTATGGCTCTGCTTCTCTCAATCTTTTTTAGCACACACAGCTGAAACAACTGCTCTGCTCCTTTTTAGCCCTTTCTCCATCCTGATTTTTTCTCACCCTCACCCTTCCCTTCTCGTGTTCAACTCTTCATTCCCTGCTGCACTGCCTCTCAGCCCCCATCTCCACCCTGGAAATCTCTCTCTCTTTCTCTGTCAGTCTCTTTGTCCCTGTGCCATCATTTCACCGCTCTCTTCTCCTCTCCTCTCTTCCCATCAGGTTCCACTCCCTTTCTTTTCCCAGTCCAATTTCATTCTCTCTACATTCCTTACATGGAGTCACAGTTGTACACCCACACACACACACACACACACACACACACACACACA